GAGACGGAGTCTTGCTCTGTTGCCCAGGCTGGACTGCACGACGTGATCTCGGCTCACTGCAAGCTCTGCCTCTGGGGTTCATGCCATTCTCCTGCCTCAGCCTCCTGTAGCTTGGGACTACAGGTGCCCGCTACCCACGCCCGGGCTAATTTTTTGTTTTTTTTTTATTTTTTTAAGTAGAGATGGGGTTTCACAGTGTTAGCCAGGATGGTCTTGATTTCCTGACTTCGTGATCTGCCCGTCTCGGCCTTCCAAAAGTGCTGGATTACAGGCATGAGCCACTATGGCCTAGACCTGAATCTTGTTCTTATTAATAGATACATGGCATCGTTTCACTGTGGTCTCGATCTCCTGACCTTGTGATCCGCCCGCCTCGGCCTCCCAAAGTGCTGGGATTACAGGCGTGAGCCACCGCGCCCGGCACTTTTTTAAATTTTTAAGAGAGACAAGGTTTTGCTATGTTGTCCAGTCTGGTTTCAAACTCCTGAGCTGAAGCAATCCTCCTGCCTTGGCCTCCCAATGAGCTGGGACTATAGGCGTGAATTACCACACCTGGCCTGCTTGGAACAATCTTATATAATTATCTTAGAAAATAATTGAGCCGGGCATGGTGGCTCAAGCCTGTAATCCCAGCACTTTGGGAGGCCGAGACGGGCGGATCACGAGGTCAGGAGATCGAGACCATCCTGGCTAATACGGTGAAACCCCGTCTCTACTAAAAAATACAAAAAAAAAAAAAGCCGGGCGAGGTGGCGCGTGCCTGTAGTCCCAACTACTCGGGAGGCTGAGGCAGGAGAATGGTATAAACCTGGGAGGCGGAGTTTGCAGTGAGCTGAGATCCGGCCACTGCACTCCAGCCTGGGCGACAGAGCAAGACTCCGTCTCAAAAAAAAAACACGAAAATAATTGTGACTGACCATGTGTGGTCGCTCATGCCTGTAATCCCTGCACTTTGAGGGATGGATCATGATCGAGGTGGGTGGATCATGAGGTAGGAGATCGAGACTATCCTGGCTAACACTGTGAAACCCCGTCTCTACTAAAAATACAAAAAATCAGGTGTAGTGGCGGGCACCTGTAGTCCCAGCTACTCGGGAGGCTGAGGCAGGAGAATGGCGTGAACCCCGGAGGTGGAGCTTGCATTGAGCTGAGTTTGCGCCACTGCACTCCAGCCTGGGCGACAGAGTGAGACTCTGTCTCAAAAAAAAAAAGGAAAATATTTGTGACTATGATCATGGGCTGCGTAATAGTTCAGTCAACAACAGACCACATGTATAATGGTTGTCCCATTAGGTTATAACACCAGGTTGGGTGCAGTGGCTCACACTTGTAATCCCAGCCTTTGGGAGACCAAGGTGGTCGGATCACTTGAGGTCAGGAGTTCAAGACCAGCCTGGCCGATGTGGTGAAATCCTGTCCCTACTAAAAATACAAAAATTAACCAGGCGTGGTGGTTCGTGCCTATAATCCCAGCTGTTTGGGAGGCTGAGGCAAGAGAATCACTTAAACCCAGGAGGCAGAGGTTACAGTGAACCACGATCTTGTACCACTGCACTCCAGCCTGGGCGACGAAACAAGACTCTGTCTTAAAAAAAAAAAATACCTTATTTTTATTGTGCCTTTTCTATGTTTAGATACACAGATACCACTGTGCTACAGTTGCCTGCAGTATTTGGTACAGTAACATGCTGTACAGGTTTGTTGCCTAAGTAGATAATAGTTGACACAGTCTAGGTTTGTTTAAGTACTTCTGGGATCATTCAATGACGAAATCGCCTAAAGATGCATTTCTCAGAATGTATTCCTGTTGTCAAGCAATGCATGACTGTATATCCATGAGATACCTCTAGCAGAGAGATTGCTATGCCAAAGGAAAGATATATGTGTTTTAATTTCCATGGATAATGCCAAATACTGCTCCAGAAATCTGTGCCGCTTTATATGTAAGGAAGCAGTATATAAGCATGTCCATTTCTCGTTTACCCTCAGCAGTTATTGGTGTCATCAGACGTTAATTTATACCAGTCTAATAGATGAAAAATGGTCTCTTTAATTTGCATTTCTTTAATTATAAGCAAACACTTATTGACCATTGTGTTTTCTTGTAAGCATTTGTATCCTTTCTTTGTTTTCTTTTTTTTCCTCTGATACACATAAGCTAAATATTTTATAGCTGCTATTCTTTATATGATAGCTGCTTTTCTTCCTTTGAGTGAAGGAAAAAGTATCCAAGAATTTTATAAGATTAAAGAGTAGCATAGTTTTCATAGCTTATATTTTGCCACATTGCATCCTAGAAAGAATGACAAGTGATTCATAGGTGTTACAAGTTTTCTGTAGCCCTTTTAATTGTTTGTATCTCTTTTTTCTACTTTTGTTAACTTGTTAGTTGCACATCTTCTTCAAGATTGATTTTACAGGCCGGGCGCGGTGGCTCAAGCCTGTAATCCCAGCACTTTGGGAGGCCGAGACGGGCGGATCACGAGGTCAGGAGATCGAGACCATCCTGGCTAACACGGTGAAACCCCGTCTCTATTAAGAAATACAAAAAACTAGCCGGGCGAGGTGGCAGGCGCCTGTAGTCCCAGCTACTCAGGAGGCTGAGGCCGGAGAATGGCGTGAACTCGGGAGGCGGAGCTTGCAGTGAGCTAAGATCCGGCCACTGCACTCCAGCCTGGGTGACAGAGCGAGACTCCATCTCAAAAAAAAAAAAAGAAGATTGATTTTACATTTTCTCTAATTTGAATATATTCTGGTTTCCATCTAGCCATCTCCCCAGAAGTCTGAGCCTCTGCTACCTTCTGCCTCTGTGGATGAGGAAGAAGGGGACACTTGTACAATATGTCTGGAACAGTGGACCAGTGCTGGAGACCACCGGCTCTCAGCATTACGCTGTGGTCATCTCTTTGGGTATAGTTGCATTTCCACGTGGCTCAAAGGACAAGTACGAAAATGTCCCCAGGTAAGGACCATAGGTAAGGACACATTAACATGTTAAGTCAGGCAGATTCCTAGAACCACTCTAATTATGTCCTATTGGGTTCTTTAGTGCAACAAGAAAGCCAGGCACAGTGACATTGTTGTCCTTTATGCCCGAACCCTGAGAGCTTTGGACACTAGTGAACAGGAGCGCATGAAAAGGTAGGTGGTGAGAGTATGCCTGACTGGAATGTTCCGTTTTTGTTCATTGTAGGCACATTTGAAAAACGAGGTATGAGTCACTTGTAGTGAGATTTTACTTGACCTGTGACTTGGGATCTCTGGGGATCATTGACAGTATGTTTTAACGCTGTTATTTATAATTCATGTCTGATCATCTTCTTAAGGAAGTCTGCATCGTTGGCCTTACATAGAGCATTAAACACAAGGATCTGGCACATTGCTTAACTGTTGCCATTTTTGCTTCTCATATTCCTGAGCCCCCCACAGCAGTTCTCCATACAGAAGACTCATAAGTGAAGCTTTGCACATGCTGTGCAATGTAAAAAATTACCAGGATTTTGGAAGCACATAAACAGTTGCTAGTAACACCAGTCAGTATATGCTTCAAAAATATTGAAGAACATACACACCATTGAGAAAGGTGCAGGGACATGGGTTCTCTCACACTTTACTGATTTGGATGTACACAGGCAAAGTCATTTTGAGACATCCTTGGAAATGTGTCTCTAAAGCCTTTGATCTAGTAATAATTGTTCAGGCATTTGTTCTAAAGAAGCATTGAAGAGTGTGTACAAAGATTTACTTAATGAAACTTCATTTAGCATTGTTAAAAATCTAAGGCAAGGGGATTGCTTAGTTGAGTGAATGGTGGTGTGTGCATGAACAGAATACTATACAATGTTGAAATGTGCGTATGTTGTCCTGTGGAAACATGTTATTAGTGTCATTGCATTTTTGTGAACTAGAAGAAGAAAATACAGCTGGTGCAGTGGCTCACTCTTGTAATCCCAGCACTTTGGGAGGCCAAGGCGAAAGGATTGCTTAAGGCGGGGAGTTCAAGACCAACCTGGCCAACATAGTGAGATCCTGTCTCTATTTAAAAAATTTTTTTTTTTTTTTTGAGATGGAGTCTCGCTCTGTCACCCAGGCTGGAGTGCAGTGGCCGGATCTCAGCTCACTGCCTCCCGGGTTTACGCCATTCTCCTGCCTCAGCCTCCCAAGTAGCTGGGACTACAGGCGCCCGCCAACTCGCCCGGCTAGTTTTTTGTATTTTTTAGTAGAGACGGGGTTTCACCGTGTTAGCCAGGATGGTCTCGATCTCCTGACCTCGTGATCCACCCGTCTCGGCCTCCCAAAGTGCTGGGATTACAGGCTTGAGCCACCGCACCCAGCCTAAAAATTTTTTTTAAAGAAAGAAAAAAAATACTGTAGGTAGTCACTGTACAGATTATTTTAATTTTCTTCCTTGTTTTTACTCATTTGATCCAACCAGTACTTACTTGTAGCATTTTTAAATAATGGAAGGTGTGTACAGAGTGAAATTTTGTTGAAAAGGCAAAATCTATAGATGTGGCTGTTAAGGGTGATTGTATTTAAAAACAATTCACTGATTACAATAAGCAGTTAGTATACTCTCCAGCCTCATTAGAAAAAGTAAGGAATTTCAAAATGCCAATATAGACTAATAAAACGAACAGCCTTGTACCCAGTTTTATCAAATCTTAATATTTTACCATATTGCTTTGAGCCTTTTTGAAAAGAAATAGGCTGGGTGTAGTGGCTCATGCCTGTAATCCCAGCACTTTGGAAGGCCGAGGCAGGAGGATTGCTTGAGACCAGGAGTTTGGGACCAGCATGGGCAACATTGTGAGACCTTGTCTCTAGTAAAAATGAAAAAAATTAGCCGTGTGTAGTGGTACACACCTGTAGTCTCAGCTACTTAGGAGAGAGGATTTCTTGAGCCCAGGACGTTGTGGCTGAGCTGTGGTTATGCCATTGCACTGTAGCCTAGGTGACAGAGCAAGACCCTGTATCATAAAAGTAAAAATAAAGATAAATCTGTTGACTAGGTCAGACCTAAGAAGGAAAAAAAGGAAAGAAAATTTTAAAGAAGTAGTAAATTATAGATTCAGTAGAAGGGCCAGGGACGGTGGCTCATGCTTGTAATCCTAGCACTCTGGGAGGCTGAGGTGGGCAGATTGCCTGAGCTCAGGAGTTTGAGACCAGCCTGAGCAACATGGCAAAACCCTGTCTTTACTAAAATACAAAAAGTTATCCGGATGTGGTGGTGCATGCCTGTAATCCCAGCAAATCAGGAGGCTGAGGCACGAGAAACACTTGAACCTGGGAGGCGGAGGTTACTGTGAGCCGAGATTGTGCCACTGCACTCCAGCCTGGGCGACAGAGCAAGACTCGCTCAAAAAGAAAAAGAAAAAGGTACACTAGAATTCCATAGAGAACTACTTTCATGAATTAGGTGTTCATCATTCCCAAGAGTGATTCTGTGTTTGATTAGCTATATTTGTATTTGTAAATTATACATAGTATGATATAGAAAGTTTTGTTTGGGTTTTTGGTTTGTTTGTTTGTTTTGAGATGGAGTTTTGCTCTTGTTGCCCAGGGTAGAGTGCAAATGGTGTGATCTTGGCTCACTGCAACTTCTCACCTCCCAGGTTCAAGCGATTCTCCTGCCTCAGTCTCCCAAGTAGCTGGGATTATAGGCGCCCACCACCATGCCCAGCTGATTTTTTTTTGTATTTTTAGTAGAGATGGGGTGTCACCATGTTGGTCAGGCTGGTCTGGAACTCCTGACCTTGTGATCAACCCACCTCGGACTCCCAAAGTGCTGAGATTATAGGCGTGAGGCACCACACCCGTCCAGAAAGTTTTTATACTTTATGCAAATGTTAGTTTATAATTTTTTTCTTCTGTAGCTTGCTTTTTTGCTTAATATTATGCTTTGGGAGTGTGTCCTAGTTGATCCATGGGGCTCTCTTTTTTTTTCTTTTCATTTCAATTTCTTGATAATATTCTAGTTCCCTAGTCAAAATTAATCTGTTTAGGCCAGGCGTGGTGGCTCACACTTGTAATCCCAGCACTTTGAGGGGCTGAGGTGGGCAGATCATCTGAGGTCAGGAGTTCGAGACCAGCCTGGCCAACATGGTGAAACCCCATTTCTACTAAAAATACAAAAAATTAGCTGGGCATGGTGACATGCACCTGTAGTCCTAGCTACTCGGGAGACTGAGGCAGGAGGATAGCTTGAACCCAGGAGACCGAGGTTTCAGTGAACCGAGATCGCACCATTGCACTCCTGCTTGGGCAACAATAGCGAAACTCTTGTCTCAAAAAAAAAAATTCTCTGATTGTATTTTACATTGGTAGACATTTAGGTTGTCTCCACTTGTTAACATTAGCCATGCTGCAGAGAGACAGGTCTAGCAATGGAATTGCTTTATTATAAGGCACATTTAATTTCTGCTTTACCTAAATATTGTCAAATTATTCTTCTAACTTAAACTTTTCTTGTTTAAAAAAACATGAGAGATTTCTCATTTTTTCATACCTTTGTGAATTTTATTTATTTATTTACTTTGAGACAGAGTCTCGCTCTGTCGCCCAGGCTGGAGTGCAGTGGCGCAATCTCAGCTCATTGCAACCTCCGCCTCCTGGGTTTAAGTGATTCTTCTGCCTGAGCCTTATGAGTAGCCGCGACTATAGGGCATGCCACCACGCCTGGCTAATTTTTTGTATTTTTAATAGAGATGGGGTTTCACCATCTTGGCCAGGCTGGTCTTGAACTCTTGACCTCATGATCCACCCACCTCTGCCTCTCAAAGTGCTGGGATTACAGGCGTGAGCTACCACGCCCGGCCAAAAAGAATTTTTTTTTAAGACAGAGTCTTGCTCTGTCACAAAGGCCAGAGTGCAGTGGCGCCATCAAACTCCTAGGCTCAAAGCAGTTCCCCAACCTTAGCATCCCATGTAGCTGGAAGTACAGGCACATGCCACCACACCTGACTCATAATTTACTAAGTAGTATATTTTTCTGTACAAATTTTCATTGCTACTTCTATCCTTAATTTAAGTTTCCAGCTGGGTGCATTGGCTCACGCCTGTAATCCCAGTACTTTGGGAGGCCGAGGCGGGCAGATCACGAGGTCAAAAGTTCGAGACCAGCCTGACCAACATGGTGAAACCCTGTCTCTACTAAGAATACAAAAATCAGCTGGGCATGGTGGCACACACCTGTAATCCCAGCTACTCGGGAGGTGGAGGCAGGAGAATCGCTTGAAACCGGGAGGAGGCGGAGGTTGCAGTGAGCCGAGATCACGCCACTGCACTCCAGCCTGGGCAACAGAGAGAGATTTCATTTCAAAAAAAAAAAAAATTAAGTTTCCATGTATGAATGGGCTACAGTAGTCCCCTGTTAACCACAAGGAATACATTCCAGGAGCCCCCAGTGAATGCCTAAAACCAGTGTATGTTTTTTCCTATACATACAAACCTAAAGGTTAATTTATAAATTAGGAACAGGAAGAGATTAACAACAATAAATAATAATAAAATAAAGCAATTATACCAATATACTAATAAGTTATGTGAATGTGTTCTTAATCTCTCTCTCAACATATCTCAAGTTTTGTGGGTTGTGGTTGATCACAGATACCGAAAACCATGGAAAATGAAACTAGATAAGGGGACACTACTGTACTCTTTTGTTCCACGGTCTTTTTGTTAATTCTTTCTCCAATATTCCAAGTTATAATTTATTGTAGCTTTAATATATGTCACCCCACTTTGTTCTGCAAAAGTGCTTTGTTCTGCAAAAGTTTTTTTTGCTATTTTTGTCATTGTTCTTCATATTAATTTTTAAAAATTAATTTGTTAAGTTCCATGAAAAAAACTTTGGGATATTGATTGAAATTGCATTAAAAAATTATTGTGGAGTAACTTGAGAAGTACCATATTTGTGATAGTGAGTCTTTTCAGTCATGAACTTTATGTAATATCCTTCCATTTATTTACTGTTTTCTTGTGTCTTTCACAAGTATTTTGCTTCATAAAGGTCCTACCTAGCCTTTTACTTTACATAATGACCTTTGGGTCAATGACAGATTATATACACGATGGTGGCCCCCTAAGATTATAATGGAACTGAAAATTCTGTTACGTAAGTGATGTCGTAATCGTTGAAATGTCTTAGCGCGCCGGGCGTGGTGGCTCACACCTGTAATCCCAGCACTTTGGGAGGCCGAGGCAGGTGGATCACTTGAGGCCAGGAGTTTGAGAACAGCCTGGGCAACATGGTGAAACCTTGTCTCTACTAAAAATGTAAAAATTAGCTGGGCATGGTGGCAGGCGCTTGTCATCTCAGTTACTTGGGAGGCTGAGGCAAGGGAATCTCTTGAACCCGGGGGCGAATGTAGCAGTGAGCCTGGATCACGCCACTGCACTCCAGCCTGGGCAACGGAGCGAGACTCTGACAAAAAAAAAAAAAAAAAAAAAAATCTTACCTCAATGCATTACCTTTTCTGTGTTTAGATACATAAGTACCATTATATTACAGTTGCCTACAGTATTCAGATTCAGTATGGTAACATACTATACACGTTTGTAGCCTGGGAGCAGCAGTATATAGCTTAGGTGTGTAGTAGGCTATACTGTATAGGTTTCTGTAAGTACATTCTGTAATGTTCACATGACGAAATCGCCTAACAACACATTTCTCAGAACATGCCCGCATCATTAAGCTGCACGTGACTCTATTTCTAGATTGCTGTTAAAATTGTTGTGAATAAAATTTTTTAACTTACATTTACTAATCAGTTATCTGATTTGGGGACTGCTGTTGATCTAATCTTTTTGGTCTTGAGTCCAGCAGCCTTGCTAAACTGTAATCGTTTGTGGGTTCTCTTAAATTTGCCGTAAAAATTAATAAGGGCAGCTTTTTTTTTTTTTTTTTTTTTTTTGAGATGGAGTCTCGCTCTGCCGCCCAGGCTGGAGTGCAATGGCCGGATCTCGGCTCACTGCAAGCTCCGCCTCCCGAGTTCACGCCATTCTCCTGCCTCAGCCTCCCGAGTAGCTGGGACTACAGGCGCCCGCCACCTCGCCCGGCTAGTTTTTTGTATTTTTTAGTAGAGACGGGGTTTCGCCGTGTTAGCCAGGATGGTCTCGATCTCCTGACCTCGTGATCCGCCTGTCTCGGCCTCCCAAAGTGCTGGGATTACAGGCTTGAGCCACCGCGCCCGGCCATAATAAGGGCAGCTTTATCTCTTCTAATTTTCATGTCTTTTTCTTGCATATCTTACTGGAATGGAATTCTGTCTTTGCATTTCATATTTTGAGACTTTTTAGGTACGTACAAATGTATGACTGTTACTCTTGGTGATTGTGTCCTTTTATGATACATTGTTCCTCGTTATGCCTATTTTTTTTTTTTTTTTGTGACGGAGTCTCGCTCTGTCGCCCAGGCTGGAGTGCAGTGGCCGGATCTCAGCTCACTGCAAGCTCTGCCTCCCGAGTTCACGCCATTCTCCTGCCTCAGCCTCCCGAGTAGCTGGGACTACAGGCGCCCGCCACCGCGCCCGGCTAGTTTTTTGTATTTTTTAGTAGAGACGGGGTTTCACCGTGTTAGCCAGGATGGTCTCCATCTCCTGACCTTGTGATCCGCCCATCTCGGCCTCCCAAAGTGCTGGGTTTACAGGCTTGAGCCACCGCGCCTGGCCTCTTTATGCCTATTTATGGTTTTTTATTAATTCTAATTGGTCTTTCTTTCGTTAGCATTTGCTTGATGTCTACTTTTGCTCTTTTTTTAACTTCACATTCTTTTTTGGGTTATATTATTTGAGTATCATGAACAACCAACAGCTTACTGTTTTCTTTTTAATCCAGTAACCTTGGCCTTTTAACATGTCAGTTTAATCTTTTATAATTTGCCTTAGCTAAACACTAGATTAGCTCTGTTCTCTCGTTTTGCCTGTGGCATTTTTAGTCGTAGTCAAATTTTCTAGTAGTAGTCAGATTCCTGACCATCAGTCCCTGCTTACCCCAAAATCTGTCTCTGGAGAGATTTTTCTCTTTTTATGTTTTATTCACTATCATAACATATTTACAGCAAAGAATATGCATCATAGCATGAACTTTATTCTGCCATCTTGATGGGAAGTCTTCTGTAGCCTTCCTAATCCCCAGTTGTTGCTGGCTTTCCCCCCCTAGTTCCCTACTGAAGGAACAGATGCTAAGGAAGCAGGCCGAGTTAGAATCAGCACAGTGCCGACTCCAACTGCAGGTCCTCACTGATGAGTGCACTAGGCTTCAAAGCCGTGTTCAGGTATGTTTATCCTTTCTAACCCAAATAACTTTTGGAATAGGAATGGAAGAGGAATCTAAATGCTACTTATGTTCATCTCAGAAATAAATAGGATTTGCCAAGTTATTTAGGAAATAAACATGACCAACTGCTTATTTTATTTCTGATTAGGGCATCTGTTCAAAACTTACTACACACTTTATAATGAAATCTACTATAGTCTGAATTTTATTTTTATTTTTTTATTTTTTTGAGATAGAGTCTCACTCTGTCACCTAGGCTGGAGTGCAGTGATGTGATCTTGGCTCACTGCAACCTCTGCCTCCTGGGTTCAAGCGGTTCTCCTGCCTCAGTCTCAGCATTTCAAGGAGCTGGGATTACAGGCGCCCACCACCATGCCCACTTAATTTTTGTACTTTTAGTAGTGACAGGGTTTCACTATGTTGGCCGGGCTAGTCTCGAACTCCTGACCTCAGGTGATCCACCCGCCTTGGCTTCCCAAAGTGCTGGGATTACAGGCGTAAGCACTGTACCTGGCCTTACAATCTGAATTTTAGAAAAAATTAAATAGCCAACCAAGAATTCCAAACTTGTTTAAGTAAATCTACCAATAAAATGAGGGCTTTACCAGGAGTTTGAAGGTTACAGTGAGCTGTGATCGCACTACTGCACTCCAGCCTGGATGCCATGGATGACGGAGTGAGACCCTGTCTGCTTTTTTTTTTTTTTTTAAAATGACTTTAAACAAAACCATCATTAAGGACTTTCATCCCTCATATTATGATTCTGTGCTCTCCTTATTTCACTTGTTGACATACTGTAAAAAATCAGCAGTTCTGGCCAGGTGCGGTGGCTTACGCCTATAATCCCAGCACTTTGGGAGGCTGAGGCGGATGGATCACCTGAGGTCAGGAGTTCAAGACCAGTCTGGCCAACATGGTGAAACCCCATCTCTACTAAAAATATTTAAAAATTAGCTGGGTATGGTAGTGGGCACCTGTAATCCCAGCTACTCAGGAGGCTGAGGCAGAAGGGCCTGAACCCAGGAGATGGAGGTTGCAATCAGCCAACATGATCCCACTGCACTCCTGGGTGACAGAGTAAGACTCCATCTCAAAAAAAAAAAAACTCGGCAGTTCTCTAGAATTTATGTTAACATTTTCATGTAATGGATAAGAAATCTTCTATATAAGATCAAGGAATTGTGTTTGAGGGGAATATCAAATTAAAAAGCTTTGTATTTATAAAATCTTTTTCATTTTAGGACTTGCAAAAGCTTATGTCACATCAAAATCAGAATTTACAGCAACCCAGGGGCTCCCAAGCATGGGTCCTGAGCTGCTCACCCTCCAGCCAGGGCCAGCACAAGCACAAGTACCACTTCCAAAAGACCTTCACAGTATCTCAGGCAGGAAACTGCCGGATCATGGCATACTGTGATGCTCTGAGCTGCCTGGTGATATCACAGCCTTCTCCTCAGGCCTCTTTTCTTCCAGGTAAAGAGTCTAGAACCTCAGCTTTCATGTTCTTTATTAGACTCCATGTGTTTATTTCCTTGCTCTTTTGGAAAATTCAAGACTCAAGGCTCACCAAATCACCTTTCCCTCTCAGTTCCTTGTTAATGCAAGTACCCCAGGGTGCAGCAAAGATGTCTTTACTGTCTATTAACTTCATTCTGTAAATTTATTAACCAAGAGGGTAGAAATACTGATAACCGTGACAAAGCAGATGGTGAGGTCCTTGGAAGTGTAGGTTACTGATAGAGTCCAAGAAGGACATATATGTCCTATTCAACTTACAGATTCTTTTTAGACTGGAAATGTTTGACAGAACACTACCCTAAGGGTAATTCAAGGTGAAACAAAATTTAACACTTATTTTCAGTAGTGTTCAAGTTAACAATTTCCAAATAAGAGAGTTTAAGGAGTACACTGACTATTAATGCTAGATTAATTTTCTCTCAACATATTTTGTGCTTTTTAAGCTTTATTTTAGGTTTTCTAAATGTTGAAATCCAAGTCTTTTCAAATGCTCAATTAAATCATTTCTAAATCTTGCAGATGTTTCTTTCTGCTGTCTTTAGCGTAAGATTTCTGCCAACTGGAAGACCCCTTTGCTTTAACATGGTTTTATAATGTTCCTTTATCCCATCTAAGTTTTTAATAAAAAGATTTGTCATCAAATAGAACCAACAAATTGGAAAAATAACTATTTTCTAATGTTCCCCAAATTGGGAATGTGTTCTGTTCTTTTTTTCTTAACGTGTCCATTCCAGTCCGCTTGATAGTGTGCTGGTGCTGATTTGTCCTTGTTCCCCTTAATGATTAACTTGGTGTGTATTTCTGTTACCTTGTTGATTTTTTTTTTTTTCTTTTTTTTTTCCTTTTCTTTTCTTTTTGAGATGGAGTCTCGCTCTGTTGTGCAGGCTGGAGTTCAGTGGTGTGATCTCAGCTCACTGGAACCTCTGCCTCCTGGGTTCAAGAGATTCTCCTGCCTCAGCCTCCTGAGTAGCTGAGACTGCAGGTGCATGCCACCATGCCTAGTTAATTTTTGTATTTAAAATGGGGTTTTAGCATTTTGGTCAGGCTGGTCTCAAACTCCTGACCTCAGGTGATCCACCCATCTTGGGCTCTCAAAGTACTGGGATTATAGGTATGAGCCACCATGCCCAGCGACCTTGTTGATTTAAAGCCTATACCTGCACCTGCACCCACCCCCACCCCTTGCTTTTTTTTTTTTCCCTTCTCTGGCTGTCCTAATTCTGCTGGAAGAAAGTGCAATAAGCCACGTACTTGGTTCCCTGGAGAAGCTGAAGCTGTCTTGAATCTAGGATTTGATGCATTTTTAAAGAATTTAACTCAACTGAGCACAGTGGCTCATGCCTATAATCCCAGCACCTTGGGAGGCCAAGGCGGGAGGATCGTTTGGGCCCAGGAGTATGAGACCAGTCTGGGCAACATAGTGAGACTCCATCGCTATAAAAAAAAAATTTTTTTTTAACTAGATTGGTGTGGTGGCACACCTCTCTGGTCCCAGCTACTTGGGAGGCTGAGTTGGGAGGGTCACTTGAGCCTAGGAGATCAAGGCTGCTGTGAGCCGTGATGGTGCCACTGTACCTTAGCATTGGTGATAGAGTGAGACCCTGTTTATATATATAACTTAGTTAAAAATAAATGTTATAGCCTAGTAAGAGAACAGAGTAACAAATACTTTTAAAAGGTTATTGGTTTTTGTTGGTTATTTTTACCCCTTTCGGGAATGTGGGTACTTGAATTGTCATCGGTCTCATTTCATTTCAGACAGATGTGACATATCTTGACTGACATATTATTTATTTTCATTCTCTATTGTTCACTGTTCCTTCTGCATCTAGAGTGTGGTTCTAGTGAAATATTCTCTCTCAACAGCTTTATTGAAGTATAATTGACAGTAAACTGTACATATTTAAAGTATACAATTTGATTACTTTTCGCATATGTAATACACCCCTGAAACCATCACTACACAATCAAGATAACTTTAATTTTTTTTTGACACAAGATCAAGTTATATCTCCCAGGCTGGAATGCAGGGAGGGATGTGATCTCAGCTCATTACAACCTCCACCTCCTGGGCTCAAGTCATCCTTCCACCTCAGCCTCTCGCCCCACTATGCCCAGCTAATTCTCATATTTTTTGTAGCGACAGGATTTCACCATATTTCCCAGGCTGGTCTTGAACTCATGAGCTCGAGCGAGCCATCCACCTCAGCCTCCCAAAGTGCTGGGATTCCAGGCATAAGCTACCACGCTTGGCCATGAACATATGTATTACCCCAAAAGTTTCCCTATGGCCTTTTATAATCTCACCTGCCCCTCCCTCCTCTCCCATCCCCGGCAGTCACTGCTTTTTGTCACTACAGATGAGTTTGCATTTTCTAGAATTTTACATAATTGGAATCATACAGTGTTAACCATTTTTTAGTCTGACTTCTTTCTCACTGCATGATTTTTTATTGTAGTATATGTTAGTAGTTAATTCCTTTTTAATGGATAGTATTCCATCATACCTGTATACAGTAGGTTTGTTTATCCCTTTACCTGGACGTTTGAAATGGGTTATACTTTTTCTTTTTCTTTTTTTTTTTTTCCTTTTCATTGTCATGAGGCAAGCGTGGGTTGTACTCTCTTTTCTCTCTTCTCTCTTCTCTCTCCCCTCTCCTCTCTCCTCTCTTCTCTCTTCCTCTTCCTCTTCCTCTTCCCTTCTCTGACAAGTTTTGCTCTGGATACCCAGGCTGGAGTGTAGGGTGCAATCTCGACTCACTGCAACCTCCGCCTCCCAGGTTCAAGCGACTCTCCTGTCTCAACCTCCCGAGTAGCTGAGATTACAGGAACTTGCCACCACGCCTGGCTAATTTTTTGTATTTTTAGTAGAGACAGGGTTTCACTGTGTTCGCCAGGCTTGTCTTGAATTCCTGACCTTAGGTAATCCACCTGTCTTGGCCTCCCAAAGGTTTGGGATTACAGAGGTGAGACACCACGCCCGGCCTGGGTTGTACTTTTTTAAATAAATCATAGGCCGGGCGCAGTGGCTCATGCCTGTAATCCCAGCACTTCGGGAGGCTAAGTCGAGCAGATCACTTGAGGCCAAGAGTTCGAAACCAGCCTGGCCAATACAGTGAAACCCCATCTCTACCAAAAAATACAAAGTTAGCCGGGCGTGGTGGCGTGTGCCTGTAATCCCAGCTGCTCGAGAGGCTGAGGCAGGAGAATTGCTTGAACCCAGGAGGCAGAGGTTGTAGTGAGCCAAGATTATGCACTGCTTTTTAGGCTGGGCGACAGAGTGAGACCCTGTCTCAAAAATAAATGAATAAATTATAACACTGGAGAATTGTCGTTTGACCAGCTGGTTCCCAAGGACTTATATGCGAAGAAAGGTGGACAAAGAAGCTACTTGAAAAAGTAGTTTGCGTTGCTCTAGGTTCACTTTCAGTGATCTGTTTCATACTATTTTGCCTTTGGCAGGCTTTGGTGTTAAGATGTTGAGTACTGCCAACATGAGAAGCAGTCAGTACATTCCGATGCATGGCAAACAGATTCGTGGACTGGCTTTTAGCAGTTACTCCAGAGGCTTGCTACTCTCTGCTTCCCTAGACAACACTATTAAACTGACCAGGTGAGTGATTTGGGGAGGAAGGTGGAGACTGGGCTGTTTGGTGTTGAGTAGCATGGAATTAGTATCAGTGTTATGATGACCTTAGCTCTTTTTTTTTGGTCTGAGACTGTGTCTTCTGAGATCTATTTAAAATACATTGCTTTTAGAAGTGGGCACAGCAGGTTACAAAACTGTGTTTCTTATTTCTTTAAAATTATATACATTACAAAAAATGTCTTAAGCATATTTTAAGGAGATGAGAATAAAACTCTAAAGTTGGTGGAGGCCAGCCGTGGTGGCTCACACCTGTAATCTTAGCACTTTGGGAGGCCGGGGCAGGTGGATCATCTGAGGGTCAGGGGTTTGAGACCAGCCTGGCCAACATGGTGAAACCCGTCTTTACTAAAAATACAAAGATTAGCTGGGCATGGTATCAGAAACCTGTAATCCTAGCTACCAGGGAGGCTGAGGCAGGAGAATCACTTGAACCTGAGAAGTGGAGGTTGCAGTGAGCCAAGATCAAGCTACTGCACTCCAGCCTGGGTGACAGAGCAAGGCTGTGTCTCAAAAAAAAATAGTAAATGAATAAATACATAAATAAATAAATAAAATTTAAAAATAAAGTTTGTGGAATGACAGGATGGAGGGAGCTTTGGTACCTGACATCAGAGTCACCATACTAGGTCGGTACTGTTTACTCCTAGTCCTGGCCTGTTTCTCCTAGTCCTGGTCTGTTACCTGGACAATTCTGAGTAACAGAGATGTTCACCAAGCACTCGCTGCCCTTGGGTACCATGATGACTTCTTTTATACCCTTACTTAGTTACAGTGTTTTATCTGTCACATGCTCTGTGAGTACTGTGAACCAGATGTGAGTGTGCTCCATGCCTTTATAAGTATTGTTTTAAAAATAAGGTAGAAAAATGTTACATACCAAAGTGTTGGTTGGATTATTATTTATTTATTTATTTACGTATTTATTTTTGAGAGAGAGAGAGAGTCTTGCTCTGTCACCCAGGCTGGAGTGCAGCGGCGCAATCTGGGCTCACTACAACCTCCTCCTCCTGGGTTCAAGTGGTTCTCCTGCCTCAGCCTCCCGAGTAGCTGGGATTACAGATGCACGCCACCACACCTGGCTAACTTTTGTATTTTTAGTAGAGATGGGGTTTCGCCATGTTGGCCAGGCTGGTCTCAAATTCCTGACCTCAAGTGATCTGTCTGCCTCAGACTTCCAAAGTGTGGGATTACAGGCATGAGCCACCATGCCCAGCCCCTTTAATTTATTATTTTACTTCTTTACAACTCAAGAGGAAAACCTGTGACCCCCAAAACAAATGTTATGGAATTTAAAGGAGTTACCTGGGCAGATCCTAGAAAAAATAGGAAATCCAGAAGTTTGGGTATATGAGTGTGTTCTCGGTAAGGGTTAATGATCATTTAAATGATAATCTTTACATCTTTGTCATGTATTTGATTTTCTTAATGCAGTTGTAAAAGTCTTTTGTAACTCCACAGCCTGGAGACAAATACCGTGGTCCAGACTTACAATGCTGGACGTCCTGTCTGGAGCTGTTGCTGGTGTCTTGACGAGACTAACTACATCTATGCTGGACTGGCCAATGGTTCAATTCTGGTATATGACGTGCGGAACACGAGCAGTCATGTGCAGGAGTTAGTAGCTCAGAAAGCCAGGTAGGGAGCCACTCACTCTTTTCCTGGTGGTAGCAACTGTCTCTTGGCTTATTATTGTGTTAATTGTCTCTTCAGAGGGTGTTACGCAGTTGGTCAGAAATCCTTACAGTTTTTGAAGATCCACTTGATCTCACTTCAGAATTAATAACATTCTTGTTAACAAGAGTTTGTATTCATGATATTTCATATGACAGAGAGTTTTGGTACAAGTATAGCCAGGTTCATAGTCAGTAATCATCTAACATGGCAAAACAGAGTCAGATCTATGTTCAGAACCTAGCTCCACTACTTAGAAGTTGTGTGACCTTAGTTGTGTTTCTTGGCCCATTGTGAGCTTAATCTGTAAAATCTGGTCCATATAGACTTGCTTTAATAGCCACATGTCACCGGGCGCGGTGGCTCACGCCTGTAATCCCAGCACTTTGGGAAGACAAGACGGACAGATCACGAGGTCAGGAATTCGAGACCAGCCTGACCAACATGGTGAAACCCTGTCTTTACTAAAAATTCAAAAAAAAATTAGGCATGCGTGGTGGCGCATGCCTGTAATCCCAGCTACTCAGGAGACTGAGGCAGAAGAATCTCTTCAATCTAGGAGGTGGAGGTTGCAGTGAGCCGAGATCGCACCATTGCACTCCAACCTGGATGACAGAGTGAGATGCCGTCTCAAAAAAAAAAATAGCCACGTGTCTAGCACATAGGAAGAGATCAGTTAAGGATAGCATAATCAAAAGTGATTTAAAACTTCCCTAATCCAAAGCTAAACCAACTTGTTTGAAGATACTGTATTATTATTATTTATCATTTAATCCAGTTGTGAGATTGAGAAGTTTATAAAGTCAGCCCAAGTTCTGAGGATGGATGGCCACCAGCACCACTCTGTTTTAGAATGTGTTGAGCTGCCCTGTATGTATGAAGTTCTCAGAAGGGGAGTAGGGTCTGTGTCCTGACCAAAATGAAAAGTATCTTAACAGATAATTTATGTTTCCAATTGGATATATTAAGAGCAAGGAGAGCCAAACATAAAGATATCACTAAAGTAATAATTATTTACTGAAACCTAGGCCCAAATAGAGTAGACAGTAAAATACGGCAAGGTTTTTTTGTTTGTTTGTTTTTGGTGATGGTGGTGGTGGTGGTTTTTTATTTTTTTAAGATGGTGTCTCACTCTCACCCAGGCTAGAGTGCAGTGGCACAGTCTTGGCTCACTGCATCCTCCACCTCCCGAGTAGCTGGGACTACCAACATGCGCCACCACACCTGACTAACTTTTGTATTTTTAGTAGAGATGGGGTTTCACCATGTTGGCCAGGCTAGTCTCAAACCTCAAGTGATTCTCCCACCTCGGCTTCCCAAAGTGCTGGGATTAGAGGTGTGATCCACCATGCCCAGCCAAACACGGCAAGTTTTAAAATAGCAAGAAAAAAATACTTGTATGTATTGTTCATTTTTATTTGTGTTTACTTTGATTACCTTTATTGTGACAGGGAAAATGAAATAAAACAGGCAAGTAGACTTTGGCAACTTTGGCATGAACGAGTTCACAGCAGAAATGAGTTCATAGGAACACAGTCTGAAGGAGGATATTTCTGAGAGAATTCTTGGCTCATAGTCCTGGTCATATGCTTGCAGAAGGAAATATAGAAAATCTAAAACAGTCCTGTTTCTGAATTAAAATGTAGCTGCTTTTAGCTGTATTTTAATTGTGGGGTCTGTCATCTACAACTTGGGATCTTTATTTTGTTATGTATACAAGCTTTGTTTCTTTCCTGACTTTTCTCATGTGGCTAAACCCATTTCCAGAAGCTTCACATCAGTCAAGCTTCCTAGTAATTGTGATCTTGTATCCCTTAAATTTCCTAGTTCTTTTTTTTTTTTTTTTTTTGAGATGGAGTCTTGCTCTGTCTCCTGGGCTGGAGTGCAGTGGCCAGATGTCAGCTCACTGCAAGCTCCGCCTCCCAGGTTTACGCCATTCTCCTGCCTCAGCCTCCCGTGTAGCTGGGACTACAGGCGCCCGCCACCTCGCCCAGCTAGTTTTTTGTATTTTTTAGTAGAGACGGGGTTTCACCGTGTTAGCCAGGATGGTCTCGATCTCCTGACCTCGTGATCCACCCATCTTGGCCTCCCAAAGTGCTGGGCCTAGTTCTTTTTTTCCTTTTCTTTTTTTTTTTTTTTTCCTTTTTGTGGAGAACGGGGTCTCGCTATATTACCCAGGCAGGTCTCAAACTCCTAGGCTCAAGCTATCCTACCGCCTCTGCCTCCCTGAGAGCTGGGGTTACAGGCGTAAGCCACCGCGCCCAGCTTTCCTTTTCTTTTAGAGCATCTAGTATCTCCCCTGAAATTAGTTTCAGAATATTATATGATGTCCTTTTGTTTCTACAGAGAGGGTTGCTAATTTTTATCAGATGTCAGAGGATAGTGACTAAAGGTGTTTAACCTCTGTAGAGGTGGGAATGTGCTTGAGGGTTACTGGTAGTGGGGTCTGGAGCCGTCCGAGTTTTGGAATGTGAGATACAGTTTCCTTACTTTCCTTTCAGATGCCCACTGGTCTCCTTGTCATACATGTCCAGAGCTGCCTCAGCTGCATTTCCATATGGTGGGGTGCTGGCTGGAACCTTGGAGGATGCTTCATTCTGGGAACAGAAAACGGACTTTTCTCATTGGCCTCATGTACTGCCCTTGGAGCCAGGGGGCTGCATAGACTTCCAGACAGAGAACAGCTCCCGGCACTGTCTTGTGACCTACAGGCCTGGTGAGTAGTACCGGGGTCTCCTATGGTTTATTTGGGAGCACAGTGGTAGAGAAGAGGGAAGGAGAGTTCGATCCTACCCTTTGGGTGGCTGTGGTACTGCTCACAGACTAACAAGATACATTGTAGCTCTTGCTTCTACAGGGAGGATGGTGGCTTCAAGCTCCCCCACAGAGCCTGCCTCCCTGCTCCTTACATGTGAGGACTGGAGCATATTCTGCCAGGTACTCCTGGAAGTGAATTAGCCACTTAGGAGCCCCTACAACTTAGAACAGTAGTGGAATGAGGGGGTCAGCTCTAGGTCGTTGAGCCATCTTGAGATCACTTTCATATCTTCTGCCTGCCTCTCACTTCCCCTGAGAGAAAGGTCCAGATTAGGGCAGCCATGTAGTACCCCGGCTGGCATATTGTCTGTTCCTCCTTATTTGGGCCGACAAAGGTAAATAAGGGGAAATGGACAACAATGGTTGTGTGGGCCCAGCCAGCTGAACATCTTTGCCTCTGGAATCAGAGGTGGAACCCGTAACAGCAGACTGTGCTTCATTCACAGGTTTTTTCTAGGCTAAGTGTCATGAATCTAAATTCCTGGTAAACTGTACTGATGGTCAGTGTTGTAGGTTTTTTCTTTCTAATGTGGTCTTGAGGTCTCTGTCAGGAGAGTGGCTATAAACTGTAGCCCTGTCCTGCCAAACTCTAGGGAGTTCATTGTGGGTGTTCATAGTGTACCTTTCACAGGATACTCCTTTGTCCTGGCAGATGGCCTAACACCTGGCTGACTCATGACCAGGTGTCCCTCGCACAGGAAACTTATTTATACTGGCAGGTACCCTTGTAGTGCTTGTCTGACCTGTGTCCAGTTCATTTCCCTTGAGATAGTGACTCTCTACAAGAGCCCTGATTAGGAAAGACGTTAGGTTCAGGTGTGTTGGTCAGGTGAGACATAAAGGAGGCAATGCACAAAACACAGGAAATAACGGAATCAGCTTACTTGACAGATCCCACAGAGAAGAGGGCAGCGTGCTTCAGGGGCCAGTGGGAAGAAGGGGGAGCCATCCAGGACAGGCCTGCTCCCTTAGGGGTAGGGTAGGGGTGGAGGGGAGGGACAAGTGGGCTATATTTCCAACCTCTGCTCAGGGAAGGGATGTTTTAACTAGACCAAAGTTGACAAGGGTCAACCCTAGATGTAACCAAAGGGTACATCTAGGTTTCAGATAATTTATGCCAGTCCTGAAAACAGATGCTGAGGTCACAACTGTATTAAGCAAATTATAACAGTCAGGCAGATGTATAGTCAGAGTTAGTCGTTAAATGCTCACACTTCTGCTAGTTGTGGGTGGGTCTACTCATGTTTTTAAGTTTTGTTTGAGCTGAGAAACATCTCAGTAGCACTTCAGACCCTTTGGCTCTTCGTTATCCCACAGCTCTGCTCTCTCCAAGACTGTGATTTGCTGTGACTGGTATACAAAGCCTGGGGGTCCTCTTTTGTTCTCTGGCTTTTGTTTGCCTCCCAGCAGAATTTCAGATACATGTTTCCCTTTCTGTAATAGCCTGCTTTCACTTTATAAAAATGTGCAGTCCCAGGGGCTAATGAGGTTCTCACTGGGGGAAGGGAAAAACCTTTCACTGAGAATTCTTAAGAGAGAAATTCCCCCAGCAGAGGTCTGGCAGGAGACTGATTTTACTAAAACAGGTAACTCACTCTCAGAATTGTTTTTCTCTTAAGCAAAAAGCTATTGTAGATAACTTGATTCCTAGCCTGCGGTTCTGAATTTCACTGATGCTATGATACTGTTCTTTCATTTGTTTTGTAGCTGTTCTTGATGGTTAAGCATTTATGGCTTTTCCGTCCAACTAGGTTGTAAGCGTGTGAGGTTTGGGTACTTGGTTAATTTTTTGTGTAGCATCCCCATGGTGCAGCACTGATTTCTCTGTCCCATAGATAAAAATCACACCACCATACGAAGTGTGCTGATGGAAATGTCCTACCGACTGGATGACACTGGAAATCCAGTCTGCTCCTGCCAGCCTGTACATACGTTTTTTGGAGGACCCACTTGCAAACTGTTGACCAAAAATGCCATTTTCCAAAGCCCAGAGAATGACGGCAACATCCTGGTGTGTACTGGGGATGAAGCAGCAAATTCTGCCCTGGTGAGCCTGTTATTTTTTACTTTCATATAAAAAGTAGTTTTGCTTAAAATATTGGTAAGGGAAAACGTGAACATTTTTTTACAGAAGCTCATAAAGCAAAAAAGTGTAAGTTCTGCTCTGTAATCCCACATATCCGCATATATGTGTACGTGAGGTTGCTTGGTTTACATATGCTTTCCATACTGCTTTGTAGATCTTGACTCACTGTTGCAACCTCTACCTCCTGAGTTCAAGTGATTCTCCTGCCTCAGCCTCCTTAGTAGCTGGGATTACAGGCACCCACCACCACACCCAACTGATTTTTGTATTTTTAGTAGAGACAGGGTTTCACCGTGTTGACCAGGCTGGTCTCGAACTCCTGACCTCAAGTGATACACCAGCCTCGGCCTCCCGAAGTGCTGGGATTATAGATGTGAACCATCGTACCCAGCTGAGATGTTCTTGAACCTGAGTCTAATTAAGTCGTAGAGTAGCACTGTCCAATACAGTCACACTAGTCACATGAGCACTGAAAGTGTGCTTAGTGCCAAGGAAGAACTTAATGTTTTACTTTATTTTTAATCAAGTTAAATATAAACTTATGTGACTAGAGACCACTGTATTGTATAGTGCCACTCTAGAAGCTAGCGCTAAGTTTCATTGACTGGAGTTGCAGGGAATAGAGGAGAACAAGTTTAATGATAGCACAGAAAGTATACACACAAGTCCAGGTTGTGGGCGTTCTCTAAGACAGCTGATCCGGCTTCCACAAGAAGTCAATGGCAGAAGAAAAAAGGTGGGATCACAGGCATGAGCCATGACGCCCGGCCCATCCTTTTGTTTTTTTTTTTTAAACAGATGCATACTTTTTTTTTTTTTTCTTGAGACAGTCTCGCTCTGTTACCCAGGCTGGAATGCGGTGGCGCAGTCTCGGCTCACTGCCACCTCTGCCTCCCAGGTTCAAGCAATTATTGTGCCTCAGCTTCCCAAGTAGCTGGGTGCACACCACCATACCCGGCTAATTTTTGTATTTTTAGTAGAGACGGGGTTTTGCCATGTTTCCCAGGCTGGTCTCAAACTCCTGGGCTCAAGCAGTCTTCTCACCTCAGCCTCACAAACTGCTAGGATTACAAGCATGAGCCACCGTGCCTGGTCATACTTTTTTTTTTTTTTTTTTTTTGAGACAGGGTCTCGCTGTGTTGCCCAGGCTCAAGTGCAGAGGCGCAATCTTGGCTTACTGCAACCTCCACCTCCTGGGTCCAAGTGATTCTTGTGCTTCAGCCTCCCAAGTAGCTGGAACTATGGGTGTGTGCCACCATGCCTGGCTGACTCTACTTTTTAATACTTTAAAATATTTTTTTTTTTAGGAGACAGTATCTTGCTTAGTCTAGACTGGAGGGCAGTAGTGTGATCATGGCTCACTGTAGCCTCAAACTCCTCAGCTTAAGCAATCCTCTTTTACCCTTTCTTGTGTAGCTGGGACTGCAGGCATGCACCACCACACCTGGCTAATTTTTTAATTTCTTGTAGAGATGAGAATCTTGCTATATTGCCCCAGCTGGTCTCTATCTCCTATCCTTAAGCTGTCGTCCCATCTCAGACTCCCAAAGTGTTGGAATTACAGGTGTGAGACACCATGCCTGGCCAACGCGGTGGCTCACTCCTGTAATCCCAGCACTTTGGGAGGCCAGGGTGGATGGATCACGTGAGGTCAGGAGTTCAAGACCAGCCTGGCCAACATGGTGAAACCCCATCTGTACTAAAATACAAGAAAATTAGCGGGGTGTGGTGGCAGGCACTGTAGTCCCAGCTACTTGAGAGGCTGAGGCAGGAGAATCGCTTGAACCCAGGAGGCAGATGTTGCAGTGAGCCAAGATTGCGCCACAGCACTCCAGCCTGGGCGACAAGAGCGAGACTCTGTCTCAAGAAAAAAAAAAGGTGAGTTCCATGAGGGCAAAGACAGGGACTTTATTTTTAATTTACCTTTCTGTCCCTAGAAGAGCCTGACACATAGATTGAATGAATGGAAGCTGGGCTTTATTTTCAGATCCACTTACAGGTAGACTAATTGCTGATTACAGTAGGTGAGGCTGTATCTGAACTATGTCAGGTGTGCTGGCTTTGAGCAACCTTGTGAAGGTTAGGGATGGTCTGCTTTGCTCTCCGGGTAGTGTTCTCTCTGCAGCCTTTTAGACTTGTTTGATGATGAAGAAAGGAAGTCCCTTCATGTACTGACTGGGTCCTGAACCTTCCCTCTGCTTGCGTTCTTTAGCTGTGGGATGCTGCCAGTGGCTCGTTGCTCCAGGACCTACAGACCAATCAGCCTGTCTTGGACATCTGCCCATTTGAGGTGAACCATAACAGCTACTTGGCTACCTTAACAGAGAAGATGGTCCACATCTATAAGTGGGAGTGACCGTGGTCTTGAAACCTTGAAGGCCTGCTGCTGGTTAAATGTTGTTTGCTAGCACCTAGCAGTCCCAAGCAAGATCCCTGTTTATTGTCTGCGGCCTAGAACATTGGGGATCATGGTTTGTTTGCATTAATATGATTCTAGGACTTTAGGTCACTGAGACACTACAGATTGTGTATCTGTTATGTCCACTAAAAGAGTAATTGATGGGTACTTTATCTACATTATCCATTTCTTGGGTTTAAAGCCTTCATTTACCATTATTGTATGTTGGAAATTCTTATTTTCTTTATTTTCTATGTGACTTTCTGGACCTTAGAGAGTGTCCTCTCATCATCTAGGATGTAAGTAGGCATCAAGCATTTTCTGGGGGATATGACATCCCATCTGAGTTGTCCTGTTACTTAGGTATCCTTGAAGGGACTAACCATTGTCTTGATACTGATTTCATGCAACATAGATGTAAAAGAGTATTACTCAGTTGAACACAAGAGGGCACTGTAAAACCTTGTGTCCGGTTTATTTCTGACCTTGAAGGCTGACAATCTTTTAGTAACTTGTCTCATCGCCACAAAAGTGTGTGATAGAGCACACCTGGGTGTGCCTTGTGGCAACAACACTTGTGTTCCAGGTGTGAAGTGATGGGACATTGGCAGGCCCAGTGATGGAAGCAGCTAGTGAACTATTCTCTTTGCTGATGCCTAGTGCATTAAGTTTATTGCTTTGTGAAAGGTAAGGAAAGAGGCCAGTTGTTTGAGTGGTGGGGAAAATTTTGTTTTTTCTAGCCAGCTTAGGAACTCAGGATTGGTTTTATCCAAGCTAGTGCTTTGAAGAACACTATCTCTTGCCAGGAAAAGATGAGTGATAGGTCAAAGGTTTTACTTGAGTCTCCCCTAGATATCAGGAGAAAAGACATAAGAGAATTTACAAAAGCTATTCAGACTGCTATTAAAAACGTGAGAAGAACTTGTCTCCCATTTTGAGAGAGTTCCTATCTAAATAAAGCCAGTCCCTCAGACTGAGGGGCTGTTCTTAAGTGTTCTTTATACATTCCAGGTAAAGCCTTCCCCATGTGAAGCTGATGTTTGATTCCATTTTCCTCTGATTTGCCTCCCTAACCTTTTCTAAGACTCAGTTTGTATTTCTTTGACTTGCCTCAGACTACTTCACCAAACCACTGTCCACAACAGAATATGCTTCAAGATGTGGGCAGGTCAGTGTCCTGTTCATGGGAGAAAATGGCTAACAATCTGATTTTCTCAAATGATTGCTGAAGAGTTGTTACCGTTTTTATTATAAACACTTCTGACCTGTCAATTCAAGAGCTGTTTCTAGGATCTTTCTCTCCAGCAAGGGGTTGTTGCAGTAGATTTCCCCAGAGTTCCAAGTTTTAGTTTTGCCTTTTAATGACCCTTTAATATTTTAGGACATAATTTTTTTCTTTTTAAAATTTTTTGTAGAAATAGATGTTTCACTATGTTGTCCAGGCTGGTCTTGAACTCCTGGCCGCAAGCAATTCTCCCGTCTCGGCCTCCTAAAGTGCCAAGATTATAGGCATGAGCCACTGTACCCGGCCCCTATTTGAAGACATATTTTGTAAAAGCTAGCTTCTAGAACCTGAGAAAAGCTCTTTTCTCCAAGGAGATATTCCTTTTGATATGTTAATGATTAATGATTAAGAGTGGCTGCCCAGGCCGCGAGTTGGCAGAATAGGATTGGAATTAAAAAGCAGAACTCATCTGGTTTCAGCAGATTGCCACCAAGAGGATGCAGGTGGTCAGGCCCCGACTGGCTTTGTCTTTGGCCCTGAGCAGGGTTAGGATTTCAGTTGCTTTGAAGTACCTGATGCTGACTGATTCCCCTAAAAGTAGGAAGCAAGAGACTTAACTATGAGGGACATTAGGCGAATGCTCAGTCTCACCAGTCCTTGCATTAGTACATTAAATTTGGATATTTTGGAAGCAAATTCATAGGACCGTGACTGATTTCTCCAAAGAAAAAAACCTTGTCCAGCCTCACCACGATGGTGAAACCCCATCTCTACTAAAAATACAAAATTAACTGGACGCAGTGGTGAGCACGCCTGTAGTCCCAGCTACTCAGGAGGCTGAGGCAGTAGAATTGCTTGAACCTGGGAGGCAGAGGTTGCAGTGAGTCAAGATCATGCCACTGCACTCCAGCCTGAGTGACAGAGCAAGACTCCATCTCAAAAAAAAAAACCTTGACGCCATTCCCAATCCCCATCGTAGGACATCACATTTATAAATCCAGGCTTTAGTCTTCTGAGCTCCACCAGGCTCTGCCCCACCATATTCCTTTGTCACTACCTCTAAGGTTTTTTCCCCACTTGAGGATTTGGAGTTAAACGAACTCAAAATATCTTGTCATTGTATATATTCTTGCCCCTGCTTTGAAAAGAAGGCAATGAGAACTCTGTTTATACCCTGTTTTAATGTTTCTGTTTTATGTTTTAATGTTAATATGAAAATAAAGAATTTGCTATGTATAGTGGCTCCTAGTGCCTTTTGTCTCTGACTTCTAGAGGCAGGAACATGTCTGCCTCTTGGGAGAGGGATATATAATCTCAACCCGGTAAATTTCTCTTTTTTTTTTTTTTTTTGAGACAGAGTCTTCGCTCTGTAGCCCTAGCTGGAGTGCATTGGTGCCATCTCGTCTCACTGCAAACTCCGCCTCCTGGGTTCAAGAGATTCTCTTGCCTTAGCCTTCTGAGTAGTTGGGATTATAGGCGTGCGCCATCATGCTCGTCTAATTTTTGTATTTTTATTAGAGACGGGTTTCAGCATTTTGGTCAGGCTGGTCTCGAATTCCTGACCTCGTGATCCGCCTGCCTCAGTCTCCCAAAGTGCTGGGATTACAGGCATGAGCCACCGTGCCTGGCCTTCTTTTTCTTTTTTTTAACTGAGTCTCTCTCTGTTGTCCCAGACTGGAGCGCAGTGGTTCAGTCTCAGCTCACTGCAGCCTCTGCCTCATTCCTCCCGAGTACCTGGGATTACAGGTGCCTGCAACAATACCTGGCTTACTTCTCTATTTTTAGGAGAGATGGGGTTTTACCATGTTGGCCAGGCTGGTCTCTAACTCCTGACCTCAAGTGATTTGCCCATCTTAACAGCCTCCCAAAGTACTGGGATTACAGGCAAGAGCCACCTCACCCAGCCATAGATTTTCTCTTTTTCACACTAATAAAGTGGTTGAGGCTTTTGCTTGCAGTTCTGTTTTGCTATTGCCAATGGAAAGTGATATGTTTGCCTCTTAACCCTGTGTCCTGGCCATGTGGCTCACGCCTGTAATCCCAGTACTTTGGGAGGCAAAGGTGGGCAGATCACCTCAGGTCAGGAGTTCAAGGTCAGCCTGGCTAACATGGTGAAACCTCGTCTCTACTAAATGATACAAAAATTGGCTGGTTGTAGTTGTGGGCGCCTGTAATCCCAGCTACTCGGGGCTGAGGCAGGAGAATTGCTTGAACCCAGGAGGCAGAGGTTGCAGTTAGCCGAGATCACACCACTGTACTCTAGCCTGGGTGAAAAAGCGAGACTCCATCTCAAAAAAAAAAAAAAAGGCCCTGGTCATGTGTCTATTTAGTCTGTTTACTCTCAGATCTAGGGATCTACATTTCCCAGACTCTTGCCTGGTGGCTTCCTGCTTGTTTATTTGAATCCAGGAGACTGTAAAGTGGGAGGAAGGGAGAGGAGAGGACTTTTGTTTCCTTTATTTCTTCTAGTCATTGGCAGCACTTCTGACCATGGCAGCAGCAGTGGGCAAGCATGGGTTTCAGGGTTCCTGCTCAGCACAGTTCTGGCCACCTGCCTCAGTTTCTTTGTTCTGTTTGAGTTCAAGAATCTTCGTTGCCATAAATCATGGTGCTCTGCAATTAGGCTGGAAAGGCTGAAAATGTTTTCCAGTTTCTAGCTGAACAGCAAATGGAGTATACTGGATTCCAGGAGAACTGAATCCATAGGTATAAGCTTACTAACTTCATGGAGCCTGATGCTCTAAGGGACAATGACAGAGGTCCTAGGATAGAAGTAAACCCCAAATTACAAAACCGAACACCATTGTTTTTGTTTTTCACAATACCCTCCTTTTTGTTTTCCATGTCAGTGACTGAGTATAAGTGAAATTCTGAAAAAAATTTTTTATAAGAAACGGGGTCTGACTGTCACTCAGTCTAGAGTGCAGTGGCACTGTCCTATCTCTGCATCCTCAAACTCACGGGCTAGGGTAATCCTGTCTCCTCAACCTCCTGAGTAGCTGGGACTGTAGTTGTGGACCACTCTGCCCAGCCAATTTTTTTTTGTTGTCGTTGTTTTTTGGTAGAGACAGGGGTCTTGCTTTGTTGCCCAACTGGTCTCAAACTTCTAGTTCAAGCAATCCTCCCGCCTCTGCCTCCCAAAACATTGGGATTGCAGATATGAGCCACCATGCCTGGCCAAAATTCTAGAAATAGACATTTGTTTGTCCTTGTTCTAAGTCAACATATGTTTGTTGGTAAAAATCTCTGCTGTTTTGTTTTATCTCTTTATAGTTTAATATATTAAGTAATGTCTTAGTAAATATGTATTACTAATAAGTAATTCTTAATGTTATAGATTACGTATTATTATTCTATCTTACAGGGGAAGAAACAGGTTAAAAATCCTAATAAAGGCTGGGTGCGGTGGCTCATGCCTGTAATCCCAGCACTTTGGGAAGCCGAGGAGGGTGGATCACTTGAGGTCAGGAGTTCGAGACCAGCCTGGCCAACATGGTGTAGCCCCATCTCTACTAAAAATACAAAAATTAGCTGGGCATGGTGGCCAGTAATCCCAGCTGCTTTTTTTTTTTTCTTTAGATGGAGTCTTGCTCTTTCGCCCAGGTGCCTGTAGTCCCAGCTAATCGGGAGGCTGAGGTGGGAGAATGGCATGAACCCGGGGCGGGGCAGAGCTTGCAGTGAGCCGAGATCGCGCCACTGCACTCCAGCCTGGGTGACACAGCGAGACCTCATCTCAAAAAAGAGAGTGGCAGGGCTACTGACGCAGGCCCATTTCTGGAAGACTCAGTGACAGGTAACTTTTGCATGAGGACTGTCCTATGGCCTTGGCCAACTTTCTTTTTTGTTTTTTTGAGATGGAGTTTCACTCTTGTCTCCCAGGCTGGAGTGCAATGGCGCGATCTTGGCTCACTGTAACCTCCGCCTCCCGGGTTCAAGTGATTCTCCTGCCTCAGCCTCCCGAGTAGCTGGGAATACAGGTATACATGCACCACCACACCCGGATAATTTTTTGTGTGTTTTTAGCAGAGACCGGATTTCTCCATGTTGGTCAGGCTGGTCTCGAACTCCCCACCTCAGGTGATCTGCCCACCTTGGCCTCCCAAAGTGCCGGGATTACAGGCGTGAGCCACTGCGCCCGGCCTTGGCCAACTTTCTTAGAAATGAATTTCAGTTTAAGATGAGTCTTAGATGTTTCCACCGAATCCTCCTGTCCTTCCTTCCCTCCCTTTGTACTTCACACAGTGTTGGACCTGCGTCATGGTCACATGGCTCTCTCAGCCACCTCATTTTTCCTACAACTGTTGCCCCTAATAAATTTCTTGCATAGCTAATCCCTTTTTGTTGTCTGCTTCCTGGCAGACCTGGACTCACACAAGTAGTGCCAGGAGTGTTCCAAGAAAACAGGTGGTAAGACGGCCTGATTGGGGCCCCAGAATAATAAAGACCTGGTGGCAATGTTTAACTGCCAGAAGCCAGGAGACCACAATTACCACCATTACCAGCAAGATCAAACGAGATGACCAAGGGCCAGATGTGGTGGCTCATGCCTATAATTCCAGCACTTTGGGAGGCCAAGGCAGGAGGATCACTTGAGGTCAGGAGTTCGAGACTAGCTTAGCCAATATGGTGAAACCCTGTCTGTATTAAAAATACAAAAATTTGCCAGGTGGAGTGGCTCATGCCTGTAATCCCAGCACCTTGGGAGGCCGAAGCAGGAGGATCACGAGGTCATGAGATCGAGACCATCCTGGCTAACACGGTGAAACCCCATCTTTACTAAAAATACAAAAAATTAGCCGGGTGTGGTGGCACACACCTGTAGTCCCAGCTACTCGGTAGGCTGAGGCAGGAGAATCGCTTGAACCCAGGAGGCAGAGGTTGCAGTGAGCCGAGATGGTGCCACTGCGCTCCAGCGTGGGTGACAGAGCGAGACTCCATCTCAAAAAAAATTAATAATAAAATGGCAACCAAGGGGTCTTGACGAGCGGGGAGTATAGAGATAGTTAATAAAGGATAACATCACCCAAGACCAGCAAGGGAACTATTCAACATCTATAGCCAATAAGGTCCACAAGAATGGAGGAAAAACCAGGTGAGGTGGCTCACGCCTGTAATCCCAGCACTTTGGGAGGCCAAGGCGGGCAGATCACAAGGTCAGGAGATGGAGACCATCCTAGCTAACATGGTGAAACCCCATCTCTACTAAAAATACAAAAAAATTAGCTGGGCGTGGTGGCGGGCACCTGTAGTAGCAGCTACTCAGGAGGCTGAGGTAGGAGAATGGCGTGAACCCGGGAGGCGGAGCTTGCAGTGAGTGGAGATCGTGCCACTGCACTCCAGCCTGGACAACTGAATGAGACTCCATCTCAAAAAAGAAAAAAAAAAGAATGGAGGAACAGGAGGCTAAGGGTGGTCACCAATAAGTCCTGCTCCTTTGCCCAGTTTCTAGATCTGAGCTTTTTTTTTTTTTTTTTTTGAGACAGTCTCAGTCATCCAGGCTAGAGTGCAGAGGTGCAATCTTGGCTCACTGCAACCTCTACTTCCAAAGTTCAAGCGATTCTCCTGCCTCAGCCTCCTAAGTAGCTAGGACTACAGGTGTGCACCACCACACCTGGCTAATTTTCATATTTTTAGAGAGACAGGGTTTCACCATGTTGGCCAGGATGGTCTCCATCTCTTGACCTCATGATCCGCCCACCTCAGCCTCCCAAAGTGCTGGGATTACAGGTGTGAGCCACCACACCCTGCCCAATCTGAGCCAGTTTTCAGATCTAGAATCCATTGATGAAAGTATTGGTCAGGAGCCTAACACCAAAGACCCTACCACACCATGGCACGAGGGTCCTCAGGCCTTCCCCAAAGGAACTCATGGCTACTTACCTGGGTGAGTGTACAGTGGCAAAAGGGAAATAACCAAACATTTTGAAGACTATTGGACACAGACTTAAAGGTGAAATTGATCATCAGAGGCCTAAAACATCATTATAGTCCCCCTGGCCTATAAGGGCCAGTTAATAAATGGACTCTTGGCTAAAGTGGTAAAATATGGCTCTCAGCTCACTGGAGGTATGGACCCACCCAGAGATTTACATAGTCCCCAAATATATAACTGGAAGTGACCTGGAATAACCCCACATTGTATTTCTGGCCTGTGGGGCAGGAGCTGTCATGGGCAGGAAAGGGCAGATGTAAACCTGTGAAATTGCTCCCTACCCCTGACTAAAATATGTTAAAAACA